TTGCCATTGCGTGCCAAAAGCTGGGGGAGTGCGGGGTGGTTGCACGTGCCCACACCCATAATTCTATGCACCCTGCATGCGTGCGTGACTCCCCATGCTCCCCCTGCTTTTGGCATGTGATGGCACAGTGGGCCCGGTAGGCCTGGTGTTTGCCCTCCCCTGGCTGAAGAGGCTTTCTAGGAGCCTGGGGAGGGCGAAAACAGCCTCCCCCCCAGAGGCCCTTCAGAGGCCGGAAACAGCCCATTTGCCGACTTCTGGTGGGCCCAGAAGGCCCAAAAATCAGCTGGCCAGCACACGCATGCGTGCTGGAGCTGAGCTAGGGCAACGCTCACGTGCCCACCAATATGGATCCGTGTGCCACCTGTGGCACGCATGCCATAGGTTCACCATCAAGGGGCTAGACCCTCCTATGTCCAGATGAGAGATCCCACAGAAGGTTGAGGAGAATAAGAAAGCTTACTCCTCAGCTGAGAGAGCGGCTCCAATAGATCCCAGGCACTCTCTGGGATCCTAGCACTGCATAGGAATAGCTATAATCTGCACTGAATCCTCAAGCTCCCAGACCTTTCTATGTATATGTCTTTGCTTAACAAGGGTTAGGAAAGCCTTTAGCACAACTTAACACTATTCACTTCACTTCACCCTATAATGTACTTTAGTACAAAGATGATTTCAAAATAAGCGACGTTTTTTTATGTTCCCTTCTCTTTTACCAATTCCATTGATGAAGAGTTCTTGAAACTCAAAAGCTTATAATTGTTTGTGCTATTTAGAAGGTACTGATGCTATGGGAAAGCAAGCTTCTCATCTTTACAATAATAAAGACTTAGCAAAACACTTGATGTGTCTAGTTGCACTTAAGGAAAATTAGAACAAATGCACAGGAAAACTTTATTTTAAAAAAAAACATTTGTTAAGATCTATTGTTTGCCAAAAGTTTATAGTCACAATATCATAGCAGATATTAGACGCCTTCGATAATTTTACAGAACTGATGCAGTGAACCTGATCATTGTCAGCAACAGCCATGATTAATATATCTGCTATATGGCTAGGTATTTCAGTAGGTAAGGATTGCACGTTCCAGACCTAATAGAACCTAATAGAATTTGATCAGTTTAGCTTTTTCTAATTATTCTTTCCAAGTTAATCAGACCAAAGAGTTATTAGGTGACTATTCATTAAATATTTACCTGCACATTATTATTTGTGGGGATGATTCTTTTTGTCACCCATTCTTTTAAAAATATATGCAAGGCTACTAGAATAAGGGAATTTACCAGGCGGAATGATTGATGCTGTCATCACTATGCTGATGTTACATTACAGTATTCAGCTCTTTGTTTGACTTCTTATCTAACAGAGTTGATAAATTGCCAAGGAGTAACTATGTTGTTCATCAAATACTTTACATGCAGAAAAGGATTGATGGTATTTTACAAACCAATACATTTATTACTGTAAGCTTTCATGGATTATAGCCCACTTCATCCGATATATGAAGCATACTCATGATGGGGAGAAGCAAGGAGGCACAAGTGCAACGTGTATGTCATAATGTTGCAAAAAAAAATGCATCTTCACATTATGATGCAAATTCAGAAAGACAAAGATGCATATTTCTTAATACTGGTGTCATCATGCTTAGAAACAGATCCAGATGATTTTAACTTGCATTGGGATACAATCACACACAGAGAAATATGGGAAAAATAGTCAGGCTCTTTGACCATTAATTTTATATCCTGCTTTTCAAGGCTAGCCTATGCCAGATTTGCTTTTCTACCTTTTTCCTCACATCCTCTGAAGTAGGACTGGTGGGAGATTTTAACTGTCAGGATTATGATTTTTCTAGACTTCTCATGATTTTTAATTTGTGTAGCTGGCAAAGTGCAATAATCCACTAGTAGATCAGCTATTCTAGATCTGATAGGAACCAATAACAAACAATTAGGCAATGGAAGTAGCAGAAATTTGAGAAGAACATGACAATGTAATACTGGAATTCTTTATTTTAAGAGAAAATCAAGCTGAGTAATTGAACACATATCTTGGATTTTTAAAAAAGCAAACTTTAGCAAACTTACCACCACAGCAAGAGAGGGTAGAGGTATCCAAACAATAGCTAAGCAGAGCTAGTTTCATTTATATTTCTGCACTGAAGGAAAGATTACATTGCATGGCCTAAATAAACCCATGCAACTATGATACTAGATGGTTTGGGCTAAGAGATACCATGTTTCCCTGAAAATAAGACCTCCCCGGATAATAAGCCCTCACCCCCAAAAATAAACCCTTCCTTGAAAATAAGCCCTCCCCCCAAAATAGGCCATCCCCTGAAAATAAGCCCTCCCCAAAAACATTTAACTGCATGTACAGCCAGTCCCTACCATTTCCTCTGGTTAGGGTTAGGGTTAGGGAGACAAAGCTGCAAATCAGGTAAATCAGCAAGAGGAGCCCCGTCTTGCTCTACGTGCCCCAAAATAAAAAGACTTCCTCAAAAATAAGGCCAAGCACTTATTTTGGGGTTTAAAAAAATATAAGACAGGGTCTTGTTTTGGGGGAAACACGGTAATAACTAGGCTAAAGTCACCCAATGAATTTCAAGGGATGACTTAATATAAAGTTAAGTATCCTTGTTCTTTTCCCCAGGTCCTAGATCCACTCCATCATTTCTTTACAGAATAGTTTATTAAAGGGATCTGTATTTTTTCTCTGAAACCTCAATTGTAAATAGTTCTCTTTGCCAAATAATCAGTTCCTCATAAGGTAATCCTATCATTTTTTGCACAATGTTGGGCATGGAAATAGGAACCCTAAACTTTTTTCAACAGTTCCTTATAGATTCTAAGGAGACTTTCGTTTTCTTTAACTATTCTATTTGTAAATATTATCTCTGTACAAAATACCTTAATTATCTGAAATGCAAATATCATCTAATTCTATTCAGAAACAAGGAACTTACTGGTACTTTTCAGTAAATTCTAAATATAACTGCATTTAGAATTTAAAATAATGTCTATCCAAAACCTCTGCACCCATTTCTTTGAAACTTGGCAGACCTCATTTTTAGAGCAATTCCAACAAATTTCACTCTTTTTATTGAAAGCAAGGACAATTGTAGTGATATAATTTTTTATCAAGGTATACAGGTAATCATCATTTAGCAAGCACAACTGGAACTTCCAACTCAGCCACTAAGTGAAATCACAACTGTGCTTATGCATTTACTTTAGCTTTTCTTTGTTTTACAGACCTGCTAATCATGAAACAAGGGCTATCTATAGTCAATGGCAAGCACACATCTTATCCTGAATTAGTTGTGAAATTAAAGAAGGAGAATTCTGACGTGACCTGAGTCAAAGCAAATTATTTTGAAGGATATATTGTGTTCTGAACCAAATCTCATGGCAAGAACACAGTTGAATTCCACCATGCTTATTTATGTAAATAAAGTTGTAGTATTAGCAGCATCTAGTGATTTTTAATGTGCAATGGCTTTCAAAGGTGGGGTAGAAAGATAATATTATATTGGAGCCCTGGTAGCACAGTGATTAGACTGCAGTATTGTAGGCTAACACTGCCCACAGTCTGGAGTTTGATCCTGATGGGCTTGAGGTTGACTCAGCCTTTCATCCTCCCAAAATTGGTAAAATGAGTACCCAAATTGCTGGGGCAATATGCTGACTTTGTGAACTGTTCAGAGAGTGCTATAAAGCACTATGGAGAGGTAAATAAGTCTAAGTGCTATAGCTATTAATATTGCTAATATCAGCTTTATGACCATTTATAATGAATTTAATTCCAAATGTAATTACTGTTCAATCTATACATTTTTATTGGATAGAAATTATTTCTGCTTCAGGAAAAATTGCTATTTGTTTTTTGGACCTCCCACAGTTTCAGATTCTAAAAGGCTTTGCAAAATATTAAGAAAACTAACTATATATTACAGTTTTAATGTGTATGTGTGAATATGTGTATGTTCTTAGATACAGTTAAATCATTACAGGAAGACTTGATTTTTAAATAAAGGGATGTCTCTAGATGTGGAAGGGACAGATATTTATGAAATGGGAAACTGACAAGTTTTGGTATCTTATTTAGCATACCAGTTTCTCAAGAATGAGAAACTTTATATTTATTACCTCAGTCCCATTATTGGGATTACCTTGCGACATTGCTAATGATTTATGAACTTCCCATTAGAAAGTTCAATATATCCAACTGAAATATTGCTCTTATATACAGCTCAAAATCTGATTTGACTGAGCTTGCAGTGCAGTTCTACTCATGTGTGCTTATTGTAAGCCCAATTGTGTTCATTGGGGTGCATTGTCAAGTGGGCATGCATGGACTGCAGCTTCTTTGCAATGGATAACCACTAGCCTAAACTTTATGAATCTTTAGATAGAACTAATTTCACCTTGCTCACCCAAGCATCTTCTTCCTGCCAGTGTTTATCTCACTAGTAGTTAGTTTTAGAAACTATTTATTCATTGGACTGGCAACACTCAGTGAAGATTTGTCAGACTAGGAAGGAAAAGTTGCATTTCAGCTGTTATATGAGTTTTCTTCATATAACTAAAACTTTAAAATTTCTAACATTGGGGGAAAGACTTCACATACAAAAATTTTATGATTGTTTTAGATTACCAATACAGAACCTCCCCCATCACAAAATGTCTATTTTTCTAAATTCCACCCACTCATCTTGGCCATGTCACTTTACTTACTTTCTTCTATCAGAAATCTTGTGATACAAGAAAATATACTATTTTCCTACACCGGTTGTTCTGTTGAAGTCTACTCTGCGCATTAAAAAGTGTCAGTTTTTAAACAACTAAACTGATGAATAAAACATGGTCAGAAGTTTGCAAACTGAACCAGTAACCAGGGGTCCCAAAGGAATCTCTGAGATGGTGAGCATCCTGGTAACAGGATCAAAGAAGAACATCTTTGCCCCAATTCCAGTTCAAAAGGTAACAAACATATCTTACTCTATCCCATGTTCTCGTCTTGGTCAGAAGTATGATAACCAGTTTAGGGTGCATCTGATAGCCATCTTCACTGAATGATAAATTCCTTCCTTCAAAGGTGACATTAATCAGGTATCTAAAAAGGAAAGAAGCAAAAATAATGAATATCATTAGGAAGTCCACTATGAAAAATAGTAAGACTCTTGGTACAAGCTAGATAATTAAAACAAAACATTGAATACTGTTGCCTGGAATAGTCCAGCAAATCAATTAAACGTTGAAATGAGGGAGAGAAGGAAATAAAAATTGGGAGAATACAAAGAACATTTTTAAATTCAGAAGTTTAGTAAGTCTTACCTATGTCATAAAAAGGTCCTGCTGACATAATGATTGTTTTCCTCATTGGTTCAGACCAAGTTCCTGCCTCAAATACCATTAACTATGATACTTATATAAATGCATCTTTGTTATTTAATTCTTTTCATTATAATGAGAATGACCAAAGATTGGCACATTTCTTCTGTTAGTAAGTCGTTCTCTTCCACCAAGGTTGCAGCTTCAAAAAGGAAATAGAGTAGTGACGGAGGAAGAGATCAACCTGCTTAGCCAGCTAGATCAGCTGAACCTACTTTACCAATGAATGGAGTGACAGATATCACCAGATGACCCATATAACATGAAGATTCATCAAGAATAAATATACATGTAGCAGGCTTAAATGTGCTCATCATTTAAGCAAATTAGGTTGATTTTAGCAATGCATATGGATGTTTTCCATGCTTTTATTATTATTATTATTATTATTATTATTATTATTATTATTATTATTATTTATTTGATTTATATACCGCCCTACTCCTGAAGGACTCAGGGCAGTGAACAGCCAAACAGTAAAAATACATAGATACAAAATTTAAAAAACAAAGTAAAATCGAATTAAACAATTTGGCTCAGACAAATTAAAACACCCCAATCATTTAAAAACCGATTACGTTTTTTCACCGATTAAAATTTGCATAATTAAAAAGAGGAAAAAGATTAGGCCAGGCCCGCCTGGTGGAATAAAAAGGTCTTAAGAGCGCGGCGAAAGGTACGCAGATCCAGGATCCTCCGTATCTCCGGGGGGAACTCGTTCCAGATAGTAGGTGCCCCCACAGAGAAGGCTCTCCCCCTGGGGGCCACCAGTCGACATTGTTTGGCCGACGGCACCCGGAGGAGCCCCTCTCTATGAGAGCGTACTGGCCGGTGGGAGGCTATTGGTGGTAGTAGGCGGTCCCGTAAATAACCAGGTCCTAAGCCATGGAGCACTCTAAAGGTGGTAACCCAAACCTTGAAGCGCACCCGGAAGACCACCGGGAGTCAGTGCAGCTTGCGCAGGAGAGGTGTTACATGGGAACGCCATGTCACTCCCATAACCACCCGCACAGTCGCACTCTGCACCAGTTGGAGCCTCCAGGTACTCCTCAAGGGGAGCCCCATGTAGACTTCCGGTTGGCTCCGCGAGCCTCGAAGACGCTCTTTTACGAGCGCCCAATCCTCGGTTCCGTAAAAGGCCCAGAACAGCCGAAAAACAGCTGTCTGGAGGCTTGGAACCCTCTCCCCGGGCAAAGGGGAGAGAGAAGAGATGACAGGCTGAGGTAGAGCCCCCCAAGTGCCCTAGGAGAAATCCTGGGGTGCGAAGGGTGTGGGCTCCCTATTGAAGCCTGTCAAGCTGCTCCGGACCAGGGACGACTCGCTAAAGCGGAGCTAGAAGCCGCGACCAAAATCTGCTGAAAATAAATGAGGGGACTTTTAACATCTTTACCTTGATTGCAGACAGAGCAAACCAGGAGAAAAAAGAAAAAAATTGCAAGTAACACTTTAACTCCGTTTTAAAATGCAGAAAATGGCGCCTGAGGGCGGGAGGAGGAAGCTACTAGGGAAAGTGCTTGTTACACTTGTTAACGTTTGCAACATTGATACAGTTACTGGATTACACCTTAAGAGAAAGTTTTAAAGTGGAAGCGCCTAGGAAAAGAATTTGGTACTGAGGAAAAGAATTTGGTACTGAGAAAAGAATTTGGTATGGACTTTAACTAAAATTTTGCTCTGTGGAAAATAGTTGGAATTGTCGACCTAATAGCTGGATAAATACAAAGTGGCTGAAATATGGCTGACATCAGGGCTGGTGAATCAGCAAATTCTCAAGCTGTGACTGTTAAAGCTTTTCAAGAACTTCTAGAATCTTTTAACTCTGCTCTTTTGGATACAATTGAAAGAGCTTTTTCAAAAAACAGCTTGGAAAATTATAAGGAGTTGTTGGATGTGCAGCAGGAAATTTTTCAGAGGAGTTTGCCCTTGGAAGATCAAAAGGCTGTTAGGACTGAAAGGCAGGCTGGCACAGCTGAAACAAAGGATTGGGTAGACGCTTCCACTCAATTGATAGAAAAGCAACAAATAGACTCTTTATCGCAAACTGACAAACTTTATGGGAACAAATTTTGGCTATATGGACAAAGGAATGGACTGAAGGATTATACAAGCAAGAAGAGTCGAAATGGAGATTTCAAATTAGAAAAAGTGATTTCAAGAAGAGAGCGAGTATTTCAGAAACATCAACCTCAAATCAACATTTTAAAATTTTCCAAAATAAAATTGGGGGGAATGTTGAAAGAATTAATTAAAAAAAAGGATTGGAAAAAATATAGAAAGAAGAGAAGAATAGAAGATTGAGTACTTGCTTTTTTTCCTCTTTGGGGAAGGAAGATTCTAGTAAGAAACTGAAAAGTTTAATTACATTGGTATTTAAGGTTACTTTAGGAATTGAAAATTTGCAAGATATCTTCCTGTAGATTTTGAAATCTGCATTTGGCAAATATGTGTTTTAATGGTATTAAGAGATTTTTAAAATGTTTAACATAAGATTATATTACTTTAAAAGCTTTCAAGATGCCCAACTTTTTGAAGCAAAGAGGATTAATGTTAAATTCAGAATTCTATTACAAAATGATAATTAGTTTTGGACAGTAAAAGGGCTGCTTTCTAAAAAGTTAGAGGTATTAAAATGATTAATTGAAAACTTGAAAGATATCTTCCTGTAGATTTTGAAATTTATATTTGGGAAATAAGTGTTTTAATGGTATTAAGACATTTTTAAAATGTTTAACATAAGATTATATTATTTTAACAGATATATGAGATAAAATGTGTAAGATTTCAAGATGCCCAATTTTTTGAAGTAAAGAGGATTAATGTTAAATTCAGAATTTTATTAGGGAGTAATGTTCAAAAAGAATGATGTTCGAGGGTATGGAAATGAAATTTACTTATGATTTTTACTGTTTGTAATATTGCTAAAGTATTGAATTATACATCAAGAAAAAGTTTTTTTATAATTAGGAAGAATGAATTTAACTTAATTGGTCTTGAGGATTTATAAAAGGGAGGTTGATGAATTGGAGCAAGGGGAGTTAAAGAATGTGTGGGAGTTTTGAATTTTATAATTAGTTAGTTTATTTTAGCATGTTTGTTAGATGCTATACCCTATTTTTGCTCTGGGAAGTCGGGGTGGGGTGGGGAGGGTGGGATAAGGGTTGGGGTGGGAAAAAAGTGGTGAATAGAGAAATGTTTTAACAGAAGAAAGTATCTACGATTAGAATACAGGAGTTGCTCAGATACTAAAGGAGGAGAATATTTCACAGCAAAGAAGTTAGAAAGGAGAAGGGAGGAGAGGCTAGGAAGAGGAGAGGGAGGGAGAGGAATGGAAGAAAGGAGAGGAGGAAGGGAAGGGGACAGGAGTAGGAGTGAAGGTGAGAAGGGGGAAAAGAAGAGAGAAGTGGGGGAAAGGAAAAGGAAGTAGGATGAGGTAGGAGAGGAGGGAGGAGAAAGTAGGAGAGAAGAGGAGGGAGGGAAGGGAAAGAAAGGAGGATAAGAAGAAGGTTTGTTGTGGAATGAGGGAAGAAAGAGAAGAAGAGCAACTCCGAATGTAATTAAAATGTCTTACTTTAATGCTTTCTTTAAGGGAAACATGTATAAGTAGGATTTATTACGTATAAGAAAATGTACACTTTCTATTATATGGGAAGGGGGAAAGGATGGGGGGGAGAAAATTGTTTGTATTTCTTATAAAACTTTTCAATAAAAAAAAAGGGGGGGAGCCCCAATAGTCCAGGCGGGAGGTGACAAGGGCATGAGTGACCGTGCATCGGGAGTCCCGATCCAGAAAGAGACACAACTGGCGAATCAGGCGGACCTGATGAAAAATCCTCCCAGTCACGGCCGTCAAATGCTCTTCTAAAGACAGCCGTGAATCCAGGAGGATGCCCAAGTTGCGAACCCTCTCCGTGGGGGCCAATGATTCGCCCCCAATAGTCAGTGATGGCGCCAACTGACTATATCGGGACGTCGGAAATCACAGCCACTCGGTCTTGGATGGGTTGAGCCTGACCCTATTTCTCCCCATCCAGACCCACACGGTCTCCAGGCACCGGGACATCACTTCAAGGGCATCGTTGGGGTGGTCCGTGGTGGAGATGTATAGCTGGGTGTCATCAGCGTACTGGTGGTACTTCACCCCGAAACCACGGATGATCTCGCCTAGCGGCTTCACATAAATGTTGAACAGGAGGGGCGAGAGGACCGACCCTTGCGGCACCCCACATATGAGGGGCCTCGGGGTCGACCTCTGCCCCCCTGTCAACACAGACTGCGACCAGTCAGAGAGAAAGGAGGAGAACCACCGCAACACAGTGCCTCCCACCCCTAACTCTTCCAACCGGTGCAGCATGATACCATGGTCGATGGTATCAAAAGCCACTGAGAGATCTAACAGGACCAGGACAGAGGAGTACCCCCTGTCCCGAGCCCTCCAGAGATCATCTACCAACGCGACCAATGCCGTTTCCGTGCTGTACCCGGGCCTGAAGCCCAACTGGAATGGATCCAGATACGTTGTTTCATCCAGGTGCTGGGGGAACTGTTGCGCAACCACGGTCTCAACAACCTTCGCCACAAAGTGAAGGTTGGAGACCGTACAATAATTAACCAACATTGCCGGGTCCAAGGAAGGCTTCTTGAGGAGGGGCCTCACCACCGCCTCTTTCAAGGTGGCGGGAAAGTCACCCTCACCCAATGAAGCATTTGTAATTCCCTGGAGCC